AGCGAGCTATTTATTTCCTTGATCTTGATATGCGGTGTCGTGTAAATTTCGTGCATGAGTTATAGTCATAAATCCTACTTAAGAAATGCCCCTTCTTTTGGGGAAAAAAAAAGGCAATTTGTATTGATGCTATTTGAATAAAAAAAAAGTTAATGTGTTTTATTGGGATTTTTTTGGTCCAGGAATTTAATGGAAGATCTCTTCGAGTTAGCCGTGCTGAGGCCCGCCCGAGGCGCGAGTACTAGTGACCTCCGAAATACATGAGATTCTCAAAAGTGGTTGAATTATTGATGGAGGGTATGTAAAACTAACTAGATCGATGCTACTTCCAATGATACATTTATTGTTATTCGTAAAGTGATTGTCTTATCAATTTTCACATCAGAACGAACATATTTTAGCATGATTATTATTGTAAAAATTTAACAATATATCCTTACATGATCTTGATCGTTTCAATCTTGTTTCCCCCTACCAATCTAACTAAACACGACCTTTTTTTTTTTTTGTTCATGTCCTACAATCTCGATCAGAGATAACAAAGAGTTGAAGCTTCATAGTTTTTTCCTGATCAGTATGAGATAAGTGGAGTACTTTTGTGTGTGGAGACCCAAATCTGCAAAAATGGAATTTTGACTCCTTCGGTTTCTGGATTGAACCGTGGATGACTTCGACTCGTGCAACAAGGCTAAAAGGATCTGTGAAATCTTACGAACTATTCACAATCTATGTTTGTGTTTTGCTTAGAAATGAAATTCTGTAATAGTAAACCTAATACCTCTTCTAGCAGAGGAATTGTTTTTTGGAGACTATCTTGCTTGCAGATTGTAATTTTTTTTAGGTCATGCATTGACATCCAAATTTGAAGGGCCCATTTTTCCTTTTAATTTTATCTACAATGTTTGCATTTTTTGTTTATCTTTTCAACTTGGAGAAGGAAATACCAAATTATCAATTAAACCAAGAACAAGTTGGCCCATTGGACTCTTTCAAATCCATACTATTGTCATATAGGCCTTTTTATCAATTGGGTGACCTCACATGCTTTGTCAAATAGGAGATTATGGCCTTCCTTGTTGCTTTTTCTATTATCATATTTTATCGGGGAAATTGCACAACATACTACACATTTATATTATATTACACTTTTCCACCCCTTATATACTTATCTTTAAAATGACTTAAAAAGCTACAAATGTTTTTAATTATACCTAGAATTTAATTTTAGTAACTTATCCTTTAATTAAGAAAGAAAGATCACACGAGATTTTATTATGCTCCAACCTATTCTTATTCATCCGATCTCCAACAAACAACAACTCGTAGCTTTTTTCCCGGAGCCGGAGAGAGAGAAAGAGAGAATTATGGTGAGTCAAAGGCAAAGATCGGCCAGAAATCGGTTCAGAGGAGCACCCGGAGCTTTTCCGAAGGCGGAGTAGTCGGCGCCGAAAGACCCAAACAAGAAGAAGAAGAAGAACAAAAACAGCAAATTTAAGCGCAAGAAATCGGATCTGGGCAAGATTTAATTGAATTTCGGGGCAAGATTTATGGATTTCGGGGCCTTTTAGATTTATGGATCTGGGCAAGATTTATTGGGATTTTTGAAAGTAATCAACACAAACAGCAAGTAATCGGCCTATTAACCGGATCAGACCCTAACCTGGCCCGCTCATTCTTGGTCTCTTTGTGGTGCTTTGACGTTTGAATGCATGTAAGCTGTTTGATAATATGTCGCTGTGAAGTATATGCAATCTTTATTCTCCACCAAAGAGATGCAATAGCAAGAGGGAAACACGTGAGATTAGTGCTCAATTTGGAGTTACAATTACCCAGGTTCTCATCTTCATCTGTTAATCTTCCGCCCATTTTTTTTTCTCAATGATTTGATTTTTTTTTTTCCTCCATGGAACTCTGTTGATGTTTTCATGTTCTGCTTATCCAGTGGGTGATGTTAGCCTATCATGAGAACTGAGACTTAATATGATTAACTAACAATTGATTTTATTTTTTTAAGGTTCGTGACCTTTTTAATGGTCAGCGGTCAAGAGTGAGGAAGTTTGCCAAATTGTCTAAAGAGAAAGTTAATTTTGTTTTGGGTTTTCAGGTGTATTAAGGTTTTGGACTGTTATATGTTGAGTAGATAGACAATATATTTTCAGTTTTTAGATATTTTACGTCGGGATTATGAGTATATGTTGAGTAGATAGACAGTATATTTTCAATTTGTATATGTTGCGGGTTTATGTTGCGGGTTTATGTTGCGGGTATATGTTGTGTCTATATGAAGTATATGTTTAGTATATGTTCTGTATATTTAGAAGATGTTTTTGTATAAGGAATATAAGTAATCTGTTATAATATGTTTATAAACTATATGTATACTTTTATTTATAAAAGTAAAAAAAAAAAGGAACACGTAATTTTTTGAAGGAAGACTTTTTTTTCATTGCAACATACACTGAATATATACTAACATAAACGCTATATATACCACATGAGTATATGTTCAGTATATTAGAAAAAAAATTTGTAAGTTGTTCGGTATATGTTGTGTGTATAATGAATATATGTTCAGTATATTAGAATATTTTTTGGTATATGGAATATAAATAACCTGTTATAATATGTTTATAAACTATATATATACTTTTATGTATAAAAGTAAAAAAAAAAAAAAAAGAAGACATAATTTTTTTATGGAATACATGTTTTTTATTGCAACATATATTGAATATATACTAGTATAAACGCAACATATACCTATTGGACAGCTGCGTGAATTACAATACATGTTTTTATCTATCTCTATTAAAAATATACAAGGTGCGCAAATTAAGGAATTAAATGAGTTATTATAAATATATTTTCATTTCTTTCTCCTAATCAATCCCATAAAAAGAGGGATGGATGTTTTTTTTTTTTTCTAGTAACAATGCACAAATCACGCAACCCACATTTGGGATGGAAGAAGTTAGATTTAGTAACTGATTTTTAGACAATCAGTAATTAAAATTGGTTGATTAGGTATACACCAAATTATTTGTTGTAGGAAGGTAAATTTGAAAATACTTTATTTTCTTGTATTATGCATAAAATTTTCCCTATTTTATCTTTGTTGGTTTCATGGGGCAAGTGGGAAATTGGCTCTACAAATTTGTGTAGTGCATACATTAGGTTTTTCACCATTGGATCAAAATATACACTGTGTGTGATCTAATAATGAAAATCTTGGTCTGCACGAAATTGTAGGGTTGAATTCTCATCGCAAATTGGTGCATATGGTGCAATTTTACCCTACTGATTTGTATCGTGCACAAATCGAGGTTTTTATCATTTGATTAACATTCATCCATATAGGTATGTGTGTGTGATCCAAGGCGAAAAACTCTGGTTAGTGTACCGCACCCAATGTAAAGTCGAATTTACGTTAAATTAGTACATATGATACAATTCAAGTCCAATTTTAGCAAGTTGACCAAAAAGACCAAGCTTGATTTTACCTCCAAATTAGGTATGCATTCTCCTTTTTATTCCAAGGCACAAACAACACTTGAGCAAATCATAGCTTTAGTGTTGGGACTTTAAGAGACCATGCATAAGAAGATAAAATGTCTGGAAAAATGGCAAAGGGGCAATGGAGACACTTGTCGAGCCGTGATTGGTCGGAAACCCATTGGGTGGCGGACACATCAGCATCCACAAACCACTGCCTGCCACGTGTCCCCTCAGGGCTTTCGGACTATTTTGTGATTTTATCCATATTCATGGCTAGCCAATGGGAGCTCGACAACAAGAAATGGCCACTGAGGGTTGTCACATAGTGTTGATTGGGCTATGCTTGAAAATAGGCTAAGCTTGTCAAGTGCCATAATTTGTTTATTGAAATTATGGACCAAAAATAAATTAAATTAAGGTCCAGTTATAAAATAATTGTGGAATTGTTTATTATTTTATAAATTTGGTTGAATAATGTGTAATTCAAGACCAATTGAGCATTGTCCAATTTGATTTTTTTTTAATAAAGGCTAAAAAGGCCAAAAAAAAAAAAAAAAAACCAATTTTTTTGAGTATATTGTATTATAGATTGGTTATTAATTTTTTAGTCAATAATAATCCATTATCGAGTCTGAATTGTTGCGATCGAATGCATAACTTTTTTCGTTCAGAATTGTTTAGCCATAATTTTTCTCATTAAAACTAATTAAATTAAATAATATTTTCACAAAAATAATACTCTCTCTCTCTCCTACAAATTTCACTAATATATACTATAGGGAGATGTTACGGTCCCGTTACGGAATAATTCCGTTGGGATTTGCAATCGTTTATCTCTGACGGTTACATTATGACTTAACAGTTACAAAACTCGATGGAATGATTCCGTAACGGGACCTTAGCATTTCCCTATAATATATTTTTTTCAACAAAAAATAATATTAATCCATATACATACATCTGACTACCAATCTTATCAATTAATATTTTATCGTTTTTTTTTTTTTT